CCCCAGCCTCACAATCGGTGAGCGTCCAAAAATAAAAATAAAACCGCGAATGGGCAACACAACACAGCTCATGAGGAAGCCACAGAAGAAGTCGCAGCACACGCGCACAAGTGAGGGCACCTAAACAGGAAGAAGAAGAAGACAAACAAAAAAAAAAAACACAAAAAAGCCCACGAAAAAAAAATATTTCATAGCCTTCTAATACATTTACTAGCAAACCATCTGTCGTCAGCATATTCCTCCCGTCTTCGGTCACCCTACGCGCGCTCCTCAAATCCCATTTCACAGCCCCATCTCTACTTACCGTTAATTTTCGTTTAATTGTCCTGCTACTATTCCCTGACTCCGCGCCAAACCACATCATAGCCCACGCTTCCACACACGCACACCGCCTCACACCACATTCGCTACCTCAGCATTCACATTTCCAGAATGGCCGGGGAAAACACACGCACGCACGCACATACAGCCAGAAACACAGCACAGCAAAAGCGCAGACTTACGCGCGTCTCAACTCATCAACAGCGCCGCTCATCTCGCGTGACTCTTCTGTCGTCATGCTCACGCTGCTCGGCACCACAGAGAGCGTGGGGACGGAGCACATGCGCTGCACTGCATCCACCTCCCGCACCAACCGGTCACGCACCGCCTGATCAACGTCGCGCAGTCGTGGCACGTTCGTCTTAAGGTACTGCAGGCCCTCTTTCAAGAGGATGGGCGTCGCAAGCACTTCGATGATGCTAGGCCGCTCCTGTGGATTGACGCGCAGCATGGAGCGGCAGAGATCGCACAGACCCTGGCTATAGCGGTCCGTCGGAAGCGGGTCGTAACTACCCTCCTTCAGCACGCGCTGCATCAGATCCCGCATGTTGGTAGAGGGAAATGGTTTACGCAGCGTCATGAGCTCATATAGCAGCACTCCTAGAGACCAGATATCAGCCTTGTAGCTGTAGCTCTCGCGGCGCCACAGCTCAGGGCTGAGGTAACAAGGCGTTCCGCAGAATGTTCGCCCCACATCATCGGAGAGACTCTTATCGTATTGACGCGAGAATCCAAAGTCGCCCAGCTTGATGAGTCCACTCTTAGTTAGGAGAACATTGGGTGTCTTGAGATCGCGGTGCATAATCTTCTTGTCGTGAATGTACTTTATAGCAAGACACAATTGCGCCAGTATCACAAGGATTTCATTCTCCATGTAATAAAATGGAACGGGACGATTTAAACCCTTGCTCATGTTTGATACGTTATCGCTATTTCTTTGGTCTACGTGCTTGGCGCGGCACTCCACTTGTGTCATTAAATCCCCTGCGTCGGCGTACTCCAGAATGTGCAGCAGACTCTCATTCGCCTCGTATGTGTCGAGGAGCTGAATAATATTGGGGTGCTCGCAATTCGCGATGTTGACAGCCTCTGTGCGTGCAAAATTCCGGCTTTGCCCTGACATATGTGTTAGATCGGCAAGTTTGCCCACCACAATGCGACCTGTGGCGTTGTCGACGAGCATCCAGATAGTGCTACAGGCGCCACGCCCCACTGGCCGCCTCTCGCGGTACCTACACGGCAGCGACGGGCCGATTAGACCTGGGAACCTCTGTGCGAGGGAACTTCTGGCAACAGCAGTGCTGCTGCCGATGGCTGTGCCGCCCGCTTGAACGGCGGCAGCGGCGGCGGCGGCGGATCCCCCTCGCAACCGCGCTTTTTCTACTGCCATATATATATATATATGTGTGTGTATTTGTCCACACCAGTGTTTGCGTGTCTGTCTTTTCTCCTTTTGTTTTGCGTGCGCTTCTCGTTTCGTTTATTTCTTTTTTTTTTTTGCTGGGGCTATATACGAATGTACTGCTCTTTCAGTCTCCACCAATGACGATAGCGGCAGCGATGACGATGATACCACTGCCTGGGCTCCGGTTGTTGCACCCGCCTTACTTTTTGGTCGCTTTCTTTTCCCTTACGTCTGCGACTGAATGGCCGTAGACACTTTTTTTTGTATGTTCATCCATGCCACAAGAGATGTACAAGGAGGAGAAAAAGAACCAGACGGGTGTATTGGACACGGGCAGATAAAAGGAGGCAAGAACAGCAGAAACCCAAGCAGGAAGTAGTAGCCCGCCCTTTGGCACCCCCTTCTCCCCTCATCCCCACACAGACACACACCACTTGGCGGAAAAATAGAATTAAACAAAAAAAAAAAAGAGCGCGAAGAGCATACACGGCTTCATTAAACATTAAATAAAAGCAGAACATGGCGTATGACCCCCATCTTAACCGCATAGCAAATAGAAGTAGCGACACTACTTCCAATACCTCCTTTTGGGAACTTTGCCAGGGGCTCCCACAACCCCTCACTGCCCCTTTCACTAAGCAATAACCTTTTTGCCTTATTAGCGGATCCCTTGGACAAATTCCATCGTGGTCTCTGGCACATCTGTCAGACAAACAACACCCATGCGCTGCAGTGCAACAAGTGCTGCTTTCTCCTGTGCAAAAGGACCCGAGAAGCTTACCGAAAAATTCTCCATTTCACCTGATACTGTTCGATTCCATACAGTTAGTTTGATGCCCAGCGTGCCTTCTACCTGCACGGGGGTGATCTTGCAGGGGCGCAACTTCCTTCTGCGCGCCACGTCATCCAGGATACCCACAGGCGAGTGGGGTTCCCAATTATTCGGGACGTAGTGAACCACCTCTCGTGCTGCCGGGGCGTAGCGATTCCGAACATCATTCAGCGAGAGGGTATTGGTATCACAGATGCAAAGGCCGCTTGAGAGGAATAACAGACCCTTCTGAAATTCGCTCTTGATGTCCATCGCGCCGATTTCCAGACAGCAAGCTTCGTAAAGACACCTGCATAAGTTCTTTTGCGCGGCCTGGCGAGCTTTCACTTTTGATCCGCTTTCCGTGACCGTGAATGTCTTCGTGAGGTTCTCCTGTGTCCCACTCTCAACAGAGACAACAACTTGCAGTTGACAGGCCCAGTCCCTATTCTGTGGGCGGTTATCCACCATATTCTCCCGAATAGTGACGCCTCTCTTCTTCTCGAAGGAGCGGAGCCAGAGCAATGGGCAGTCTTCCCACGGCTCACGCCTGCCGGAGTTCTGCTCATTCCATTCCACACCGACTTCTCTCACCAGCTTTTCCTGTAGCTGCACGGCCTTGGCAGCGACGGCGGACACCTTCAGCGGCCTCTGCACATGTTCAATGGTGATAAAGAAAGCGTTGCGGCGCCTCGCCCGACCACGGCTTTGAATAAAACTGCGAAGCGTTACGCAAGAGTCATAACGTATGACAGCATTACACGAGGCTACGTCCAGTCCCTCCTCCACCACTGAAGTCGCCACCAGCAACCTTATCGTACCCTCTCGAAATTCATTCAGCCTTTTCTTCTGTTCAGCATCTGTCATATGTTTATCTTCGTCGTCAACAAGGACCTTTCCTTTGCCGACAAGCACTTTTGGTTTGAAGAACTCATTCAGTTTCTCTGATTCTTCAATTTTGGCAACAACGCGGTATGCTGAACTACGTGTATCACAAAAAACAATACCACGAAATGATTTGTCCGACACGGTGGCACTCTCGGCAATCCACCTCAGCAAGCGCATGAGGAAACTTATCCGTGATGCTGTCTGCAGCATGCCGTCGCCCTTTCCACCATCGCTCGCGTTTTCTTCATTCTGTGTCTGGATGGCTCTCTTGAGAGTTCGCCTCATTTCAATAACTGCCTCAAGAAGCGGCAGGAGCACCTCTGCTGCTTGGGGGCTCTTTTCCAAGGAGTCAAAAACATCATCATGCATGATTTCCTCGTACGCCCTCTGCATTGATTCCTCTTCCATTAAAGTGAGTGCCCGCGTAGCACGGAAGAGGAATTTCGCAACCCCATACGCAAACAAGTCGCAGTCCCCATTGCGTGATTTCAGGGCATGCAGCTCTATTTGCCTGCAGGCGTTAAGGTACTGTAGCGTCGCCATTTTTAAGGGTACCAGCTTCTTAAGATGGCCGTGCCGAGCGACACTTGCCTCTTCCTGCACCATGACGATGATATTGCGGAGCAGGCACTGAAAGACTGCCTCAGGTGGCGAAGGACAAAACTCCAACGCAATCGCCAGAGGAATCGGCACACGCTCCCGCAAGCTCCCTATTTCGTTACTGACGCATATCATTCTGCAGCGAGTAGCCTTAAGAAGATCGAAAAGTGACTTGTGATCATTGAATGCGAGGAGTGGGGAGGCGGTGAGGCCGAGAATTTGCGGGTGTCGTTCTTCCACAGCAGGATCACCATCTGGTACGGGCATAGTAATGGGACTCGGCTTTTGGCGGTGAATCATTTCTAGAATCGTCATGAGAGAGCCGCCGCGTGCGTTGTGTACTTCGTCGATAATCACCAAACTGATTTGCTTTTTGATTGCCTCCTGACACGGCTGCATCCACCTAAGAAACACAACGTCGATCATCACAATCGCCACCGAAGGGCTCGCCATAAAATCTGGCCAGGACGCCACTGTCTTCTTTAAGCCGCTACACATGTCTACCCCATTGGTGCGCATCACCCGCTTCAAGGCGTTGGCCTGTTGCTCCACCAAAGCGACGCAAGACACAATAAACACAACCCTTTTCGTGGGATATTGTAGAATCTTATCCATGGCGATAGCGGCCGCAATCACGGATTTTCCAGCCCCCGTGGGGAGAAAGATAATACTGTCCTCGCCACGCGCTTTGTAGTAAACCTCCTTCTGAAAGTCATACAGCTCAGATAAGCATGGATTGGACACCTCTTCATCTTGCATTAACGAAGCCATTTGCATCAAAGTATAGTTCCTCCTTCAAGCGTTACTCTGTGAGAGTATATATATATATATTCCTGCTTTGTATTTACTATCCTCACAGCCCACAACCACATCAATAGCAGTCAAACGCGCAAAGGAAGGAAGTGACTCGCACATAACTGAAGCCAATGTCACTGCGTAAACATACCATAAAAACCACGTTCCGCCCTACTGGCTGAGCACGCAAACGCTGGAAGGAGAGTATAATTACAAGACCAAAGAAAAAAAAGCAAGACATCCCGGTGAATTCAACTACTCGAGCTGCTGCATACAGTAGACAAACTGCTGCACAGCATTGCGCCGGGGTAGGTTAAAGCGTGGCTGCTGTGGTGTAAAGAAGGAAGTGCGCCACTGGCACATCCGCGCAAACTCACTGGGCGACAGCTTCCCAGAGCCGTCACGGTCAAAAACCCGCACCAAACGATCCACATCCTCCCTCGTCAAATGAGAGAGTGCCTGAGAGCTCTTTAGCACTTGATGAAACTCCGCACTGTCAAGCTCCCATTCATCGCCGGTTTTGGATAAGGGTAATGCTGCCAATGCCTCAGCTTGAGGCTTCACACTGAGATCGGCGGCGCTGGGTGGCGTTTTTGACCTAATCGCGAGATTCATTCCATGCTCGACCGTTTCGTATTCGAAAATAACATCAAACACCTTGAGGTAAAAATCCCACGATGCAAGTTCTTCATCCTCAGCATTGCATCCACCGCTGCTCACGATGCTGCTGCTGCTGTCGGTGCCGTCACCTCTACCCCGGCGCAAAACAATTTTTTGCAGTTCACTCATGGTGATTTGGCCCGTGTTGCGCGGATCGTAGAGACCAAATTCCACAGCCCGCACCTCCCGTCGTATTTCGCGGAGCAATGACCAAAATTCATCGAACGAGACATGATTTTCACCGCGTGGGCCAAACAACCGTTTGGCGAGCGGCGACGTGAGCAGCTCATCCTTCGTCATCGTCGGTATACCCGTCGGTTGGGTGTCGGCATCCACCTGCTCGGTCACGTCCGCCGTCGCCGCCACTGCCGCGGATGAGCCCAAAGAAGCCTCCACGGGCGGTAGCAGTTCCCTTCGCCGGGGGCGCTTCTTGACAACCTTCACATGGGGGTCAATCATCAACGCATTCAGTAGATGCCTAAAGCTGTGCTTCGAAAGACGATTGTCCTCCTTTTTGTCAAAAACCCCAAAGGCCAGCTGCATGTATTTGCGCCGCGTGGAGAGCAGCGTGAGGAATATGCAGAACTCATCGTAGGTTACCAAATTGTTACAATTCACATCCATCAGAGCGAAGAGATGCGCCAGGCGCTGGCGCACGTGCGGCGGCAGCCTGTTCTCCGCATCCCCGGCGAGGAGTCGTCTCTCGTCATCATCAAGGAGACACACACACGCAACAAGTCCGGTAGGATCTAGCACCTCGCGACCGTCCGCATCGCGTCTCGCGTAGTGGCGGAAGCGTCCCTGCAGATCCGTCGGGATCGGAGCAGCAACGGATGCAAATCTGCCGCTGCTGCTCGCCCCCTCACCCGCCGGATTCTTTTTCCACCACCACCAACAACAACACCCGCCAGCAGCGGCACTTGCACCACCAAACAGGAGCCCTGTAGTTGCAGCAGTAGCGGCACGTCTTGCCGCCGTCATACGTGCAGTCGATATAGCTGAGACGGCAGAGGAGAGACTGAAAAAAATACAGAGAAAGGGATAAAAAACGAGAGGGTTTCCGCTTGGGAAGGGACGGTAGTGATTCGGCACCCCAAAAAAAGAAAAAACTCAGAAGAAAAAAAAACAGCAATGCACTTGCAAGAATATTTAGCTCTCTTGGCTGTTGTTGTTGTTTTTCGATGTGATTAGTCTTTTCATGTGTGGGCCCGACAGTTGCAAGAAAGAGGTGCGGTCTGCCTTAACTGGCAGCAGGCGCTCTCGTCTGATCAATTACACTTCCTCCTTCGCATTCTGTGAAACGCGATTGGAGGTGACTAAGGAATTCGTCAAGTGTTGAGGACACTGCGCACATCGCCTCAACCTCCGCTGGGGAGATAACAAGACCGGTGGCGCCACCCACTCGTTGGCTCTTCCCGGCGTGAAGAGCAGCAATGGTCTCACGCACACGTGTGGCATCGGCGGCACTCAGCTCCGGCAGAGGAGGCTTCGTCGTGGGATTCACTGAGCCAGTCTTGCCTGCACCCCTACCTGCTGGATCCTCCTTCACCTTGACATCATCCTCACCTATGTGACAGTTGGTTTTGTTGCTCCCAGCGTGCACGACGGAACCAAAGTGCAGCCCCAGCATGCTCAGCATGGCCGGCAGTTGAATGTAGTCGAGGCGCAGTGTCGTGCTGAGGCGACCGGGCCGCACCAACGCTGCGTCAAGCCGCCCAGGACGGTTTGTGATCATCACCACAATGCGGCCAGGCGTGTCGACGGCACCGTCAAGTACATTCAACAGCCCAGAGAGGTTCAGAGTGTCTGACGAATGCAGCAACTTCAACAGCGATCCCTTGGCCGAGGCGCCGTGGGACGGCTTCGAGCCAAGGACGCCCTGCAGCAGCTGACTGACGAGGTCGATGTGCTGCGCACTCGCCAACCCTTCATCGTCGCGGCCGCCATCGTCATTCGCGTTATCCTTTTCGCTATGATCGTCATCATCATCATCATTATCATCACTGTAGTCGTCGTCTTCGTCCTTCTTGTCGTCGTCGTCGTCTCCCTTCCCCACCTTTCTACTGTCACCGCCCGTAACGCCGTTGGCGCCTTGTGTCTCCTGCGCAATGGCGGACGACCCCTCAACAACAACAGCAGCAGCAGGCTCAGCAACGGGTGAAGCATCATCACCGCCGTCGCCTCCCCCACCACTTGCCTCAAGTGTTGCAGTGCGACGCTTGCGCAAACACCGACGCTGAACACGAGAGCGCACCAACGCGCTTGAGGCGTCCACGTCGTCTAGCAAAAATATTACATCTTTCGCCGAAAACAACGTGAGACCCGACTCACCGACGCAGTAGTACTCGTTGTTAAGAAATATATCGTACAGCTCCTGATTGGAGCGCACAAACGGCAGGCGCACTGACACCACGTGGCGGCGCGTGTATGCGGCGAGCGCCTTCACAAACGCCGTCTTGCCGCAGCCCGGCGGCCCGTAGACGAGAAAGCCGAGCTTGACCGGAAACCCTTCCGTTGCGAAGCGCCCTTTCCGCGCCATGAAGTCGTCGACGAGTTTGAGGATGCGGGGCTTCTCAGGGAAGAAGAGTGTGTCAAAGGCCTTGTTATCGCTGAGCGGGTAGCGCTTAAACTGCACGCGCGACTCACTTCCGCCGCCGCGGGCCGGCGGCTGCAGTTCAAGAAAGACGCGGCCGTCATTCAGCACATTGGGCAGGTTCTCAACGTAGTGGTTGAGCGCGCGCTTCACAAACGACTCAATGCGCCCCGCCGCCTCAGCGCCACCTTTTGCACGCAGCACGATCGTGCGCCGCACCCCCTCCGAGCCCTGAAGTGACTCCCGATTGCGCTCGTAGGTCAGTTCGATGCCGTCGTCACTCGCAGGAACCCACGCACCCATCGTCGGCACCTTGACGAGGACGTACCTCTGTAGCTCCCTCTGTGTGCGCCAGTTGACGTTCTCGGAAAACGTGTTCACATCCTCGTCGTTCACGTCAACACGGAAGGGAGAGTCGTAGCGCTCGCGCCATGCACTACGCATCGGATCAATGAGCAGCAGTAGCGCCACTTTACCCTTCCACACAGACGCCGGGAGGGGTGCGCACCAGAAGGTTCTATGCAGGTAAAACAATATGGCATTCTGCAACAGCGCGTTGCGATCCGATATCATGCCGACGGTAAGCGGCGCCAAACTCACCGACACCCGCCGTTCCACCACCCCCGAGGAATGACGCGACGAACGCTCCCTCCACCACCCCCATAATTCTCCCACAACAACATTCACAAAGCTGACGAACAGCAACAATAGGACCAGCATCGCCTCACGCATGAACGGCACAGAGCCAGCGAAGTCAAGCCATGATGCGACGTACAGCAACGCCCCTTCAGCAGGGCTGTCAACACCAGACGGGCTGAAGCCACCCCCACTCCAAAACATGTACACAACACAAAAACTACCCTACGACCCACAAAACATAACAAACCGAAAAAAAAAAAGAAACAATGAAACCCCACAAACAGGCCAAAAAAAAAACACCCCACTAGAAAAACAAGGAGATAAAGCAAAAAGCAAACAATGAACCAAAACTCAACCTCTCTCACCGGTATGAAAAGCAACCGTGACAAAAACAATGACATTATTTCAAAAAAAAGCCAGTTCCCCACATTTTCTTTAGTTAAAAAAAACGGATAAACACACCTTAATACTACGCAGCAGGAGTCGCCTTCGCCTTCTTGCTGCCCTTCTGCTTCTTCGCCAGCGCCTTGTTCAGGCTCGGCATCACACCGCCGTGCGACAGCGTCACGTTCTGCAGCAGCGCACCGAGGTCGTCGTCGTGGCGCACAGCAAGCGTCACCGTGCGGGGCGTCAGGC